CCAAGGTCAAAAAAGTTTTCAAAATGAAGGACAGATTAAAGGTGAGAGATAGATAGTAATAAGATTTGATTTTACTAGAGACATGCAAGAGGGAAATTAATAGTTCAGGGGAAAATATTAGGTGTAATAAGGGAAAAGAAGTCGAACTTAAAGAAAATTCTCCTGTGTTTAAAGGATTTCAGGAAAAGACTAATTAAATGTTTGTGAGAATAGTTAAAAACAGTCGGCTCTAAGCTACCAAAGATTATTTCTCAAAGTTTCATAACATCTTTTTCTGGCTAATGGGATAATTAAAGTGTCAACCAAAACTGGGTACATTTCAATTATAGCCATACCCTATGAAATTAAAAATGCCTCATAGCAAAATAAACTTGTTATTATTATTGCAGGGGGAATTTTTATTAGGTTGAAAAATGCATTATCAGATTTGATTGAGGTGACTCAGTATGGTCACCTTAATTCTCATAAATCAAATCAGCAGCCCAGAAAGTGAATTTTTAAAAACATTTGAAAATTTTCAGCCTGAAGGAAAATAGAGAGAGGCATATTCTCTTGCTTTAGTAATCTTAGAACAGTAATTACCCTCCCCACAGGTGAGTGAGTAGGAGCATGTGGCAGACCACAGGAGTCTAATGCCTATAAAATGGCCTTTTCTTCAGCTTAATAGCAGGTGTGTGGTGTTGGTTACCTCATTTTCACTCTCATTAAGCAGAAAGTACAGCATGTTAGATGATTGGAAACTAGTCTCCAGATTTTTCTGTCCCTTTCATCAGTTGATTTATAGATAATAGCCATTAAATTTTTAATTAGCAATTATATTTAACGCAGGAAGAAGAGAAATATGAAATAAAAACATACATATCTTGATTCAATCTGGAGTTTTGTTTCTGATATGATAGGCACAATCTAACCTTTATTCCAATCCTATTTTTAATGCAGACATGAAACTTTCCGTTCCTCCCAAAGTGGCAAAAATTAGCTACAATGGTACAATCGTCGTTTACCTAGATATGAATATCTTGGCAGACATTAATGTCAACGCATAGAACAGTTTTTGTGAAAATGTACCTAATGAAGCTTCTCATCTTCTGTAATTTTGAATACTGCTCTCACAAAAAAATCATGATGTGGAGTGAGTTAGATTTTGCAAGAAGAGCTCTTACAACAGAACTCGCAGCCTTTTCCACCCTTCCTTTAGCAACGTAGTATCCTAAGCCATTGATAATTTGGGTTTTTTTTTTTTAATACAGAAGGTATATGGAAACCATTTCAAATTGATATCAGGAAAGAATTATGTGGCGAATTCTTTTATAAAACAAATAAGGACTGATTGGTAAATATTATCTCAATTTACTTAGTTGCTTAGGTGAAAATCTAGGAGCCATCCCTGGTTTTTCTCTTTCCTTCATATCCAACATTCAATCCATCATCAAGTCTTGTTCACTCTATCTTAAAAATATAGCCCACTTCTACTGGTGGTCTAAGCCAACACTTTGTCCAGCTCTGATTCCCTCAGTAGCCATCTCCCTTTTTTTTTGGTGGTGGTGGGGGGGAGGAAGATTAGATTAGCCCTGAGCTAATATCTGTGCCAATCTTCCTCTATTTTGTATGTGGGATGCCACCACGGTATGGCTTGACAAATGGTGTAAGTCCTGGCCTGGGATCTGAACCTGTGAACCCAGGCCACCAAAGCAGTGCATGCTGGACTCAACCACTATGCCACAGGGTGGCCTCAGTGGCCATCTATTTTTGCCTCTACCTTCTATTCTCCCCTCAGCAGTCAGAATTATCTTGTACAATTAAAGCAGATCAGGTCATTCTCCTGTTCACAAATTGGCAATAGCTTCTCATCACACTTAGAATAAAATCCAGAGTCCTCCCCGTGGCCTACAAGGCCTCTGTGATTGGGCCTTTGGCTTCCTCTCAGACTTCATCCGCTTCTCTCTAGCCACACTGGCTAGTTCTTTCCTGCCTCAGGGTCTTCTGCCTGGAACATTCCTCTAGACCTTTTCATGTCAGCCACTTTATCTCATTCCGGGCATTCTTTGCTTCCTGAAACATACCAGACAGTCTCCCAGCTTAAAACCTTTATTCTGGCTCTCCCTGTGCTAAGAACTCTCTCCCTCCAGCTATTTGGATGCTCCACAGCATTGCCCCTGAGGCCTATCTGGCCGTCCTACTTAATATTGCCAATGCCCCCAGTCCCAGCGCTCGACCTTCTATTCACTTTCTATGTTTCTTTATAGCGCATATCATCTTTTATTTATTTAAAAAAAATTTTTTTTTGAGGAAGATTAGCCCTGAGCTACCTACTGCCAGTCCTCCTTTTTTTGCTGAGGAAGCCTGGCCCTGAGCTAACATCCATGCCCATCTTCCTCTACTTTATATGTGGGACTCCTACCACAGCATGGTGTGCCAAGCGGTGCCATGTCCGCACTCGGGATCCTAACCGGCGAACCCCAGGCCACCTACAAGCGGAATGTGCGAACTCAACTGCTGCTCCACTGGGCCGGCCCCTACAGCACATATCATCTTTTAAAACATCACATAATTTAATTATTTATTGTCTGTCTTCTCCTGCAGGATGAGAGCTCCATGAGGCAAGCATTTGTTGGTGTCTTTTTGTTGTTCATTTTTGTGCTCCAAATGTCTAGAACAATGCCTGGCATACAGCAGTCCCATAATAAATATTTATTGAATGAATGATTTAGATTTAGCTATATAACAGCCTATCAGAGCATACTTTAGGTTTAAAGAAGAAATTTCTAAATTAGAATTTATAGAAGTCAAGACAATATTCTCACAATAGTTTAAAAGTCTTCTATCTTTAGGAAATATTTAGGAAGTAAATATTGTTATTAAATCCAGTTGCTGATCCAACAGAATTTTTTAAAGGCAAAATATAAGATTGAAGAGATTACTTGAGCAATTCAAGCAAAACATTAATGCTATTTCTACCATTCCATGATAGCAGATAACTCTCAATGTTCAAATTAACGTCAACATATTTTTTGTAATTCGATCTCTTAGTAATTGTAGCAACTGCTTTACATTCTTCTCTACTTTTCCTTACTAAATGAGTATATCGAAAAAATATTTCATGTATCCTTTTATTTCTTCATATTCTGGTTTCATGTAGTATAGACGTGTTTTCCTCAAAAAAATAGAAATTTTTTAGTTTATTTGTACACTTTCCTTGTTCCTTAAAAAGTTTTGAAGTATAGCTAATTAAAAAAGCTGACATTCTTCTATATACATGTTAATAATAATTATTAAAGTAAAGTTAATAAAGGAAAAGTGCCATGTAAACTTGAAATAATTGTGTTTAAATTTTCAAGAGCTTTTAAATAAATTATTTAATTGTATTACATAAACTTGCAATTGTACTGAGAATGGTTCTGTTTAGTCATAAGAAATTTCACGTAGTACCTTCTATTCATCTATTGAATAATGGACTTTGGATTAATTGGCTTGCAATTAATAAAGCATATTGGTCAATAGTTGCCTTTATATCTATGTCTACCTGGGTCACTCTCTCAGTCACATGATGAAAGAAAGAAAATGTCCTAAAGTGCTGGAGACTAGGGAGTATCGAATGGCGCTTGGTGTATTTACAGACCAGTGGGAGAAATGGCTACTTTTCCATCAGGATTAATTTACCCCTTCTTCTTTCAAAATTGAACTTCCAAGATTTAGCTGGGTGCCCAGTCACTCAGTAAGGGCCAACATGACTCACTTAATCCAGATTTGGCCACACGACTAATTATACCTAAAAGAATGTGAACCAAAGTAATATGTGCTGATTCCAGGTCAAGCCCTTAAAAGGAATAGATATGCACCGTACTTGCTTTTTAATCTTTGCCCACTGAGATATGAATGTCTTGGAAGATCTGGAGAAAACACATGGATGTAGAAACGCTGGTTGTGTGTAGAAAATGAGAGAGCTGTCATATCGGTCCTGTGTTACAAGCCTCTGGACCGTTTTGTGAGACAGTAAAGACGGTCTTCTGTTTTCTGTTGAAACTTTTATTTTGGGATAATTTTGTTAGAGCACCGTAGGCTGAACTAAGAAGACCAGAGAACATGAAACAAAAACTAACAAATAGATGTTTATTCAGGATTTTTGTACAGTAAATATAACATAATTCATTTTCAGAGTTTTGGGATGTGAGGAACTCAAAGTGTCACTCCATGGTTTCCTAGCATCTAACGTAGCCAGTGAGAAAGCCGGGAACAGGTTGAGTCTCGCTCCTTAGCTCCTGGGAGGTGACAAATCTTTCTGTCTTCAATCTCTGGAAACTTTTAGCCTTTTCTCTGTGTTCTTGATGTTGTGAAATTTCATGAGGATTTTGTTTGTTTGTTTTTAATTTATTGTCTTGGAGGACTAGATGAGTCCTTTTAATCTGAAGGTGTGTAGTATTCCTCAACTCTAGAAAATATTCTTTTGTTATTTCTTTTATACTCCTCCCCCCGCCCCTCCAATTTCTATTTCTTGTCTCTGGGCCTTCTGGATTTTTTTTATGTCTCCTACCTTTTTTCCTCTTTCATCATGAGAGGACTAAGAAGAGACTATATGTGCTCAGTTATTTTTCACTGCATTTTGAAGCAAGTATCAGCACGTTCCATAGATCTGCTAATTTCTCATAGGTTAGGGTTTTTAGTGCCCAGTCCCTTCAATGATCTAGCCTCATTAGAATAATGATGATAATAATAAAATTGGTAATAATAGCTGGCATTTGATGAGCATTTACTGTGTGACTGACGTGGTTAAGAATTTCCCATGTATTATTCATTTAACACTTCCATGAGGTGAGTATTGTAATTTTTTCCCTTTTCCGGATAAGGCAATGGGTGAAGAGGATGCTGAAGAACGGGCCCCAAGTCACAGCTAAACCAGAAGGTAGAGCTGGGCTGTAAACCATGGTCACATGCACTCAAAGTTTTAACTCCTGGAAAATGAATAAAATACCAAATGGTTTTCTTTTCATATTTTTCCACAGAAGCATGCTATATATTTGAGTTTACAGCTTCAGGTAAGTGGAGTTTTTCAAGGAAAAAAATTGAATGTGTTTATCTTTGGAGCCCTGTCGGAATCCTTTGAACATTTTATTGATATGTGTTTTAAATAGTCTTACCGCAAAGGAACTTCCTTTGTTTATTTCTAACTCGTGACTTCTGTCCTTCTTAAGCCTGCTTCTGACCTTTATCTTTTCTTCAGGCTGTAAGAAAACAAGAGGTATTCCAAATTAATCCTGAGCTTGTAATTTAGCTGAACTATATCAGAGATAATGGCCTGATAACAAGCAAAAGGCAGATATCTGGGCACTGTTTACCTCAGAGTCCTTTTTGGGAACTGCTCATGAAGATGTTAACTTGATTCGGGAAGCTAGTGGGGAAGAGTGAGAAGGATGCAAAATTAATTTTACTATTTCTTTTCCTATCTTTGGAGACTATTTATTACTGAATTTTGATGAAGTGTGTTAACAAGAAAAGATTGATTCAGGAAACATAGTCACCAGAACATATAGAGAATTATGGTACCTCTGGTCCTGGAAGTAGACATACATACTCGGGGAAGTGCTACCCTATCTTTATGAAATTCATAAAGTTGTTTCAAGTTATATAATATTTAAAAAAGTAGCTTCCTTCAATTCTTCTCTAGAAGCAAGGCTTGAAATTCATATTTTACAATAAATATTGCTCCATTTTTGTTCATTGATATCTTTCGTAGTAGTTCTATAAATTCTATAAATTCTCTTTTTAAAGACTGTCAGAAATTCTATCTAACTCTCCTTTGCTATGCAAGGGATTTGTTGACTTATGTCTAAGACCACTTTTTTGCCTTTACCAAGAATGAAAACATATTACCAAGAAACAGATGGAAAATAATTCCATGATTCTTAGCAGCATCCCCAGAGAATCTCCCACTTCCCACCCCCACTTTTTTACATTTTGCAGAGGAAGCATTAAGCAATCTCAATATTCATCTGATCACTTCATTTTGACGGATGATACAGCCTTTCAGAAAAGCCACCTGGAATAAAAAAGGAATTAAAAAAATAGTTTAATGGAAATATATTGAAAAAGCAGGGAAATATTAGAATGTCAGTGAAAGGGAAATGATCATGCACTGTCACAAACTATTAATTTTGTAACAAAACCCACTAATTTAGGCACCTTCTGTTTAGTTATCGATGTGAGAAAATTCATCCCATGGAGATATAAAATTTGAAAGCCTTGGATCCTTTGAAAATCAGATCCAAGTGTTTGTGTGAATCTGTGTCTGTGTATTTTGGGAGAAGTTGTGAAGAATAGTTTCAATCATGTGATCTCTGTTTTAATTTTATCCACATGACCGCCGATCCTACAGGGACCTCTTAAGAAGAGAGAAGTGGACTGGTGCAGGTGTCAGAGCAAGATCAAAGGACAACAGGCCATCTTGAAGAAAATAAAACAGGACAAAAACAATCTGGAACTGAGTATTCAAGTGCTTTGAGAGTGACACCTATTTCAATGAAAGTCTTCCACGAATTTGTGATCCACATTTTATAAAAGCTTACAAGTACACTTGTATATTAAAAATAATCGGTTATCCATCAGGACATTTTAAACAATACAAAAATCACTATAGTACATAAGGAGTGTTGTGCCGAGATCTATTTTCCAGAGATGTAGCTCGTTTGTGAGAAATATTACCAGTGGGTGAAATTTATCCTTGAGGAGACGAAGATGAACCAAAACCTTGTTCCTGCAGCTTACACTTCAGAGGGGAAACTGATATTACGCAGCTAATCAAATTAATGAATGTGTAATTTAAAATATGGTATGTTCAAAGAAAATAAAAGAAGTCAATCCTGGAAAAGTATATAGTAGACAAACTTGACCTAATTTGGAGAAGTGAAGGAAATGATCTTTCCCATGTGATCAGAGGATTGAGTACGGGTTAACCAGGTGAAGGTGGAGAGCAAGAAGAGAATCCTATATTGAGAGACCGGCACATGTAAAATCCTTGTGAAGCAAGGAAGCTTGGAAAGAAGGCCAGAGAGACTGGAGAAGAGAGAGGAGGACGGAGGGAGGAAGGAACAAAGCTGGAGAGGTTGGCAAGAACCAGACCATGTAACAGTGCCTTGGAGGCCATGTTAAGGATTTTGATCATTTTCGAAGACAACAGGAAAAAAATACATTATAATTAGGCTGTGTAGGGGGAGAAGAAGGGTTAGGGGTGTGATAGTATCAAATTTACATTTACCATAGAGAACAGATTGAACAGGGACCAGAATAATTCTGAGAGAGCAGTGGTTGCAACAATCCAGGTAAAAGATGAAGATAAATTTGATTAGGAGAGAGATAGAGTAAATGGAGAGAAGTTAATGGAATTTACAAATGATATGTGAGTTGCCTGAACTGGATAACGTGTTTGATGTGGGAGGTGATGGAGTGGGAAGTGCCAAGTATCCTTGACTCTAGGTTAGATTTGAAGGACTTGGATGGGTGATGTTGCCACCCACAGAGATACTGAATACTGTGAGTGTCAGGTGTGAGGGGGTAAGAGCATGCTTCAGTCTAGGATGTCCTGACTTTGCTGAATCTTTGAGAAATTCTTGTGGAATGTTTCATAAGTAGCTGAAGATAAAAGTCTGGAGTTTAGGAGCAAGTTAATTGTGAAGTATTAATTTAGTAAAACTGTAGAAATGGATGAAACTAGTCTAGAGAAAGAGCATAGTGTGAGAAAAGAAGGCAGCTAATGGTAAGCCAAGATGGCAGCATTTAATAGCTGGAATAAGGAGGATGAGATCTCAAAGGTGAATGAGAAGGAATTGCCAAATATGTAGGAAGAAAACAAAGAGAATGTGGTTCAGGGAGGACAGGGAAAAGAGAACTGAAACAAGTGTGTGATGAGGAGTGTTAAATGACTGAGGAATCAAAAAGATCAGCACCAAAATTATACATTAAATTATACACAAAATATACATTTTGTGACAGGATCATTGGTAATCTGAGGAATGGACAAGTGTTTTGTTATTATGTATTTTTATCTTTCTTAAGCAAATTTCCAGGAGTGTTATTGACGGGTCTGATGTTTAACTTTATAAGAAATTGCAAGGCTATTTTCCAATGCAGCTATATAAAACATTCCACCAAAAATATAAGAGAGTTCCAGGTGCTCCACATCCTCACCAACACCCAGTACTGTCAGATTTATTGAGGCAAAGTGGACATACAATAAGTTGCAGATATTTAAATCATATAATTTGATATGCTTTGACATAGGTATACAACTGTGAGATCATCACCACAATCAAGACGGCATACATGTCCACCACCCCAAAAACTTCCCTTTTTGCAGTCCCTTCTTCCCACTACTCCCCTCTCCCCATCATCCCCTGGCAACCACTGATCTGCTTTCTGTCGCTGTACGTAGTTTGCATTTTCTCGAATTCTACATAAATCGACCATACTTCAGAGATAGTTCCCCTTCTCCATTTTGTAGTACTATGGCTAAGAATGTGTGCTGAGATTGCAACATTTTACAAAATCTGTGTAAAAATTGTGTAGGCTCATGTGTGAACTAAACTTTGAAGCATTTTCATATTCTTCCTTGATCTACATAATTTTTATTTTTTTATTTTATTTTTTTGGTGAGGAAGATTGGCCCTGAGCTAATATCTGTTGCCAATCTTCCTCTATGTGGGAGGCTGCCACAGCATGGCTTGACGAGTGGTGTGTAGGTCTGCACCCAGGATCTGAACTGGTGAACCCTGGACCCCCGAAGGTGGGTATGCAAACTTAACCACGACACCACCAGGCTGGCCCCTACATAATTTTTAAGGTAAAGTATTTGTATGTGTTGTGGACAAATTGTACATTTTTAAAACCAGACACCTCTTGTTGTACGTCTTGGTCTTGTATTATTTTTGGAAATTATAAAGTACATTGTAAAAACTATCCTTGCAGTGGAAGTTTGTATACATCCAAAACGTGAAGTGAAAAAACTTTCCAATTTTACCACCATTAAATTATATTTAAAGCTTTTGAAATATATCACTGAATTCACTCCAGAAGGACTGAACCAATTTATAGGTTATCAAATTACCTATACCCTCATCAACCCTGGGTAGCCATCATTAAAAAAACAAAAAACCTTTGTATACTAGTAAGCAAGAATACTATTGGTGGTGAGACATTTCATATTATATATTGAAGCAGAAAAAGCAGATTTTAAAATAGGCTGTGTTATAATCCTATTTCAAAAAATGTTTTTATCAGTATATATATATGTGTGAATGTATATACATTCCAAATATATCTCTCCAAATGTGGGTGTATGGTGGCTTTTTTTTTTTTTTTTTTTTTTTTTTGGTGAGGAAGATTTGCTCTGAGCTAACATCTGTGCCAATCTTCCTCTTTTTGCATGTGGGTTGCTGCTACAACACGGCTTGACAAGTGGTATAGGTCCGTGCCTAGTATCTGAACCTGTGAACCTGGACCATGGAAGCTGAGTGTGCCAAAATCAACCACTATACCATGGGGCCAGCCCCTGATGAGCTTTTATATATAGGTATAGACATAGATAATATTTATAGTTAACTTTTTATACTCCAATTCTACTGCAATAAACGTGTATTGTTTTAGTAATAATTTGAAATAAGCTCTTGAGGTTGTTTTAATTAAAAATCCAATTTAGCTGAACCATATCATTTTAAATCGGAATGTAAAGCATGTTTTATATTGTTCCTCTGCCTGTATAGGCTGGGGCAGACGCTTCGTTTCTTTAATAGATGGGGAAGGGTAAGTGTGGGGTAAGGAATAACTGTTAAGACAAAAAGAGAGCGATGGAGAAAAGGGGAAGGCAGACTGAATTCAGGAACATTATTTTACAAATAAGCTGGAGAAATTAGTGACCGGAGACCAACATCAGTTTTTATTGCAGCCACCAGCTTTCTATTTCATTGGGGCCAAAATATTTCATGTGGACTCACAAAACACTTTATTTGAATTGTTTTTTATTTTTAGGTTTCACAGTTGTTTTTAAAATATGTGTCATGTCAGATTTAATAGGAATGATTTACTTTGTTAATAATTTCAAAATATATTAGTTTATGTGGTACTTAGAAAGTTTTACCTTCTTCCTCTTTGTTTCAATTCAAAGTGACGATGGAAAATCTATGTCTCATTAGTGTTTGCGCCTTTCAGAGAAAGCACAAATTAATCACATCAATTAATTTTAAATACTACACATTTTAATTAACTTAATTTAAAACAGTTTACAAGTGTTAAGCTTGTGTGCAGGATTTGACTTGAAATAACACATATGCAAAGTCTTTTATAGTTAAAACTCTGTCTTACATTCTTTAGAAAATTTGAGATTTTCTTCTTTATTGTAATAGCATAATTAATTTAAAGAGGAAGCTCATCCTTATCATTAAATATTAATTCTGTTTTGGGATGATTTAGTATTACTTTAAAAAGAATCTATTTAAACATTTTTTGCTGGTTGATTTATAATTATTTTAATAATTCAGATAAAATATACATATAACTTTTCTATTATTTATAAAGTGCTAATCACTTCATCAAAATTTTTACATGTAAGAAGATAAAAAATGAATTATGTTGTCTAAAAGCCATATTATCCTGTCGTGAATTTAGTAAGCATGAAAGAGTTAGAGATTTTATTTTTCAAGGTTCAAGTTGTGCAAGTAATAATTAATAAGAACCTCAAAATGACAAAAATGATTCTTTTAAAAAAATTTCAGTTAGCATGCCTTTTTTCTTTCCAAATTTTTGCACACCCTCCAGTATCTCAAACAATGACCACATTTTCTGGAGTTGAGTTTTGAATATCCTTGACTAGACTGTGCAGGCAAATTTTTCTTATGCACCACTGTGCCCGAAACGCCCAGCCCCCAACGTAGAACTTAGTAAGTAATAAATGTATGTGTGTTTTGTAAGTGAATCATAGCTCTGTAGAGGAGTACAGGGAGATACAAAGGATTTAACTCCGTCTAATGTTTTCAACCAAGAAGGGAAATTTTGTGATGTAAAGATTGTAGATTCAGATAGTAGTAAACATTACACTTCATTAAATTTTCCAATTTGGCCTCTTCCTGAAGATTAAATTTGTCAGATCTTCATTCATAAACGTAATTTGTTGACCACTCATTACTCAATTGGAATGAATGAAGACATACTGTGTGTGAGTGGGGATTCTTCCTAGTCTTGACTGTTCTTACTTTTGGCAAGACTTCCCTAACTTCTAACTTCTGCTCTATAAAGTTTACGGAGGAGATATATATATATATATATATGTATATCTATATATGGACACACACACATATAAACACATATATATCATGCATGATATGCACATGCACACACAAACTCACACACACACTTTCTCAGGGGTGTGATAAACAACTGCTACTCTATCCAACAAAGACAAGAAACATTGACTGACAGTACGGAATTATTGCACCAGCTCCATAGGCGTGAAATATATTTAGTCTCCTGCTTGTTGTAGCGTTCAAAGATGATTATTACAAATGCGAGTCTGTATGCCCTAAGTCTTCAGTTTTTCATAGGACAAATCCAAGTCCTTGCCATAAATGAATGTGGCGTCACTTCTAGGCCACAACTAAAGCTCTCGGGTGAAAGTTGCCTTTTCCTCTCCCCATTTCTTCTGTACTTCTTATGTTCACACTGCTTACTTCCATGCATTTCTCTGTCTGGAGGTATTCTCAGTACCTTCAGAGTACTGAACACTCTGTCACGTTTATTAAAGACTTTGGCAGTGTTTTCACAGTCCTTCCAAAGTCATCTACAGCTGTCACGAAGTAAGATTCTAATGTTTCTATAGAATGATAATCAATTGTTACCTAGTCTTAGATTTCCTTTGTCTCTTTAACTTCAATGAACACATTTTCTACCCTTTAGTGCTGTTTTCCGGTTGTTCCAACTTGGATTTATTATCACTGTGATCGCCCATGTCTGAAATCTTTAACTCTAATTTTCCGTTTTCAGATTAGCTTTTTATTCTAACCTCAAAGGAGAGATAGCATTT